GTATAGAAATTGTCTTTTGTTGTAGATGTCTCTGTAAACATGGTTCAGATGATCTCAACTTGTCCAGACTCGGGACAAGTTAGTCCATAAAACTTTGTATAGAAATTGTCTTTTGTTGAAGATGTCTCTGTTAACATGGTTAAGATAATCTCAACTTGTCCAGATTTGCGGAAAGTTAGATCATAAAACTTTGTATAGAAATTGTCTTTTGTTGTAGATGTCTCTGTTAACATGGTTAAGAAGATCTTAATTTGTCCAGACTCGGGGCAAGTTACTATAGTAGACCATAAAAATTTGTATAGAAATTGTCTATTGTTGTAGATGTCTCTGTTTACATGATTAAGATGATCTCAACTTGTCAAGACTCGCGGCAAGTTAGATCATAAAACTGTGTATAGAAATTGTCTATTGTTGTAGATGTCTCTGTTAACATGATTAAGATGATCTCAACTTGTCAAGACTCGCGGCAAGTTAGATCATAAACTTTTGTATTAAAATTGTCTTTTGTTGTAGATGTCTCTGTTAACATGATTAAGATGATCTCAACTTGTCAAGACTCGGGGCAAGTTATATCATAAAACTTTGTATAGGAATTGTCTATTGTTGCTGATGTCTCTGTTAACATGGTTAAGATGATCTCAACTTTTCCAGACTCGGGGCAAGTTAGATCATGAAACTTTGTATAGAAATTGTCTATTGTTGTAGATGTCTCTGTTAACATGGTTAAGATGATCTCAACTTGTCCAGACTCGGGGCAATTTAGATCATAAAACTTTGTATAGAAATTGTCTATTATTGCTGATGTCTCTGTTAACATGGTTAAGATGATCTCAACTTGTCCAGACTCGGGGCAAGTTAGATCATAAAACTTTGTATAGAAATTGTCTATTGTTGTAGATGTTTCTGTTAACATGGTTAAGATGATCTCAACTTGTCCAGACTCGGGGCAAGTTAAATCATAAAACTTTGTATAGAAATTGTCTATTGTTGTAGATGTCTCTGTTAACATGGTTAAGATGATCTCAACTTGTCCAGACTCGGGGCAAGTTAGATCATAAAACTTTGTATAGAAATTGTCTATTGTTGTAGATGTCTCTGTTAACATGATTTAGATGATCTCAACTTGTCAAGACTCGCGGCAAGTAAGATCATAAAACTTTGTATAGAAATTGTCTATTGTTGTAGATGTCTCTGTTAACATGATTAAGATGATCTCAACTTGTCAAGACTCGGGGCAAGTTAGATCATAAAACTTTGTATAAGAATTGTCTATTGTTGCTGATGTCTCTGTTAACATGGTTAAGATGATCTCAACTTTTCCAGACTCGGGGCAAGTTAGATCATAAAACTTTGTATAGAAATTGTCTATTGTTGTAGATGTCTCTGTTAACATGGTTAAGTTATCTCAAGTTGCCAAGTCTCGGGGCAAGTGAGATCATAAAACTTTGTATAGAAATTGTCTATTGTTGTAGATGTCTCTGTTAACATGGTTAGGATGATCTCAACTTGTCCAGACTCGGGGCAAGTTAGATCATAAAACTTTGTATAGAAATTGTCTATTGTTGTAGATGTCTCCGTTAACATGATTATTGTTGTAAATGTCTATTGTTGTAGATGTCTATTGTTGTAGATGTCTATTGTTGTAGATGTCTATTGTTGTAGTAGACTATTGTTGTAGATGTGTATTGTTGTAGGTGTCTATTGTTGTAGATGTCTGTTGTTGCAGATGTCTATTGTTGTAGGTGTCTATTGTTGTAGATGTCTATTGTTGTAGATGTCTATTGTTGTAGATGTCTGTTGTTGTAGATGTCTATTGTTGTAGTAGACTATTGTTGTAGATGTGTATTGTTGTAGGTGTCTATTGTTGTAGATGTCTGTTGTTGTAGATGTCTATTGTTGTAGGTGTCTATTGTTGTAGATGTCTATTGTTGTAGATGTCTATTGTTGTAGATGTCTATTGTTGTAGTAGACTATTGTTGTAGATGTGTATTGTTGTAGGTGTCTATTGTTGTAGATGTCTGTTGTTGTAGATGTGTATTGTTGTAGGTGTCTATTGTTGTAGATGTGTATTGTTGTAGGTGTCTATTGTTGTAGATGTCTGTTGTTGTAGATGTGTATTGTTGTAGATGTCTATTGTTGTAGGTGTCTATTGTTGTAGATGTCTATTGTTGTAGATGTCTATTGTTGTAGGTGTCTATTGTTGTAGATGTCTGTTGTTGTAGGTGTCTATTGTTGTAGATGTCTATTGTTGTAGGTGTCTATTGTTGTAGATGTCTATTGTTGTAGGTGTCTATTGTTGTAGATGTCTATTGTTGTAGATGTCTATTGTTGTAGATGTCTATTGTTGTAGATGTCTGTTGTTGTAGATGTCTATTGTTGTAGGTGTCTATTGTTGTAGATGTCTATTGTTGTAGATGTCTATTGTTTAAAGTGTCTATTGATGTAGATGTCTATTGTTGTAGATGTCTATTGTTGTAGATTTCTATTGTTGTAGATGTCTATTGTTGTAGATGTCTATTGTTGTAGATGTCTATTGTTGTAAATGTCTATTGTTGTAGGTGTCTATTGTTGTAGATGTCTATTGTTGTAGATGTCTATTGTTGTAGATGTCTATTGTTGTAGATGTCTATTGTTGTAGATGTCTATTGTTGTAGATGTCTATTGTTGTAGATGTCTATTGTTGTAGGTGTCTATTGTTCTAGGTGTCTATTGTGTAGATGTCTATTGTTGTAGGTGTCTATTGTTGTAGGTATCTATTGTTGTAGGTGTCTATTGTTGTAGGTGTCTATTGTTGTAGATGTCTATGGTTGTAGGTGTCTATTGTTGTAGTTGTCTATTGTTGTAGGTGTCTATTGTTGTAGATGTCTCTTTTGTGTTTTTGGAATGCTGACTCATGACAAACACTTTTTATTTCTTGTTATTCATATTGAACATGACAATTCAAAATTTTCAAAAATATTTAGGAGGCATTTCTGGTTTATATATTTTATCAAGTAAAGATTGGAACTGGTTAATCGACGAAGCATTTTTAAATAAGGATCTAATTCATTCCAGAGTTTAACAACAGATGGTAGGAAACTTCTATAATAGGAAACTGTTCTGCACCTTGGAATGGCATAATTCTGAAGATCTCTGGTTGTTGTTTGTTGCTGTATATCATATTCGTTTTTTCATTTATTGTTTGTACATAAACCAGACCATTACATCTGTTTTCTTCTTTGAATTGTTTTACATTTGTCATTTCGGGGCCTTTCAAAAATTGCTGAGCGGAATGTGATTTACTCATTGTTGAAGGCCAAAAGTTGACCTATCCATTTATTAAAAAGTCCTGGTCACCGAGGGGAGTGGATTCAACAACTGCATGATATGTGCATATATGAATTCATGTCCTTTTATTATTTTTGTGATGTATTATGTAATGTGTTATTTTGTTTTCATGTATCCCATCAACCCCATTGGGGTATATAATATGTGCATTTTTTCAATAAACTATAACAAAAAACTTAATTCTACGTCATTTGGTCTCTGGTGGAGAGTGACTCTTGCCTCAATAGCAATGATATTGCATCGTTTTATTTATGTAAGAAAAACATGATCTTGTGGGATGCCTAAATAAAAGTATCGACATGATGTAGGACCGTTACTGTTTATACCCGTATAACAATACATATATATTGATAAAAACAATATAAGTTAAACTTTCAATATTCATAACCTTCTATTGATTTCTCACATGCATAAACCTGCATTTTAACTTATTTTATTGTGATGTAGAAAGAAGTATATTGACTGAGGACGAAGTCCGAGGTCGATATACTTCTTTGGGTCGATATATCCTGTATTGACCTCATACAAAGGCTATTATTGTTATACTATTAATTTCCGACCATATTTGTATCAAAATCGTGAGTGCAATATATTCTCTTTTTTCGATATCATATTGTCTCTTTGACAATAACAATATATTAGAGTTATTTCAATTATTTTTTTATGTTTTTTCTGTACATCTTATGTAATTGAAGATTTTTTTTTCAAATAATCGATCATAAATATACACATTTTAAATTTTTTTAACAATATCATGAAATTCATTACATGATGTCACAAAGTATATCGGTTTTTAGAAATTCTAAAAATAACCGTGCAATATCACTTTTGCTATCCGCCGTTTTCTATCTACCTTATATAGTTTAACATGTGACTATTCGTGTACGAATCAAATTAGTTGGAATATATGAATTAATAATATTATACAATTATAGCCTTTGTATGAGGTCGATACAAGGATATATTGACCTGAAAAAGTATATTGACTGAGCACGAAGTCCCAGGTCGATATACTTCTTTAGGTCGATATATCCTGTATTGACCTCATACAAAGGCTATAATTGTTATATTATTAATTACTGACCATATTTGTATCAAAATCGTCACTGCATTATACTATCATCTTTTTTGATCATGTAATTTTGTTGGAATTTTATAGATATCATATTGTCTCTTTGACAAAAACAACATATTAGTTGTTATGTCAAATATAATTTTTTATGTTTTTGTGTTCATCTTATGTGTTTGAAGATTTTTTTTTCAAATAATCGTTCATAAATATAAACTTTTAACAATATCATGAAATTCATTAGATGACGTCACAAAGTATATCGGTTTTTAGATATTCTAAAAATAACCGTGCAATATCACTTCTCTATCCGCCGTTTTGAGATAAGTGCAAAGAGTGATAAAAATTAATGCATGCAGCTTCCTCCCACTTCTCCCTCCATTTTTAACAACTCCTTCCCTTGAAATTTAAATAAGAAATAAGATGACTCAAATGTTTGTGTTATTTCGCCAAGGTTCACGTTATAACGCTAACATAGGAAGAAACACAAAAAAAAATTGCATGGCGCTTATACGTTTCCGCACTAACGTCTATTAAAGTTGATCTTTTGTTATTGGTTCAATAAACATATATTGCATTGCATTGACGGGTATTGTATTACATACTAGATACCCGTATGTAGAAATGACTGACTTGTCGACAATCGGTAATGTTTATAAAGGAAACGAAAATGGAAATTCTTTTTAACCAAGAGGACTATTTTTAAAGGTAATTTTAGTTAGTTCTGTTAAATATATATATGTATACTATATATAAAATGACAGTTGTTTTCCATTTGTTTGATGGGTTTGAGCTTTTGATTTTGCCATTCAGTGATAAGGGACTTTCCGATTTGAATTTTCCATGGAGTTCGGTATTTTTGTTATTTTACTTTTCATTATTCAGACAGTAATATAAGTATAGTAAAATCTATATTTGTGTGTTACATTAAATGACCTTTATGAAAAGAAAATAATATTGTAGATTTTCGTGAACATGGGCGTATCAGGGATGCATCTTATGTTGAAAAATATGTTTTTAGTTCTTTTTTTAAAATTTTTGACAGCCTACTTTTTTAATATACTCCTCCGTATCTTCCTCCCTTTATGAAAGTCTTGGATCTGCCACTGGTGAAAGATATCATATGTTTCACGTATATATGCCCCCTTTGAGGACCTCATTCTGAAATATAAGAAGACAACTTTTCAAGTTACTATTTTACCAAGTTTTTTAATTCAATTCATAGTAAACCAAACAGAAAAGCTGGACGTCATAATACAAACTTGCTTAAGCCTTGTAAGATGCACATATTTACTAGTTTAAAATAAACTTATAAACAAGTCTTACAGGTTTTTCAATCGTCTTTGTTTATCGCCCCGTAAATGATTTGTAATAGCTATCAGTGTTCTTTCAATGGACAGCTAACAAAGGTAAATCTATTTAAAGGTCCATCTAACAAAGAATTAAACATAACTTCCTTATTCATTGTACACGGAAATGTACCATTGATTATACCATTTGAATGATCCAGTCATGTGGCCTAGACATAAATTATTTTCCTGAATGTGACCTACCGAATTAGACTTATTACCTGATTTGTACTAACATGAGCAACACGACGGGTGACACATGTGGAGCAGGATCTACTTACCCTTCCGGAGCTCCCGAGATCACCCCCAGTTTTTTGTGGGGTTCGTGTTGTCTTTAGTTTTTTATGTCATGTTTTGTGTACTATTATTTGTCTGTTGGTCTTTTTCTTTTTTAGCCATGCATGACGTTGTCAGTTTGTTTTCAACTTATGAGTTTGAATGTCCCTCTGGTATCTTTCTCCTCTCTGTTATTGATTTATTTTCTCTGCATGACAACATATATTTTCTGTGTAATACTTCAATAAATTTACTACAAACAACATTTTTTTTACGATTAACAATCAATTGCTAATTTATTATCGACAGCGGTCACTGATAATTTATTTGTATGTATAAGTATTGCCGATTGACAACCAAATGTCAGGTTTTTTTCTTCATTTTGTCTATGTGATCTTCATACTGCAAAGCAAGTAATTTTTTGGTATGCATCATTTTTCGTTTTCTTTCAAGAAAACTGTTCACATGATCATATTTAGTACTAGTACATTGGACAATTCAGAATCATTTTATATCTTTAAAGGGGTGGATGTATTTTTCTGAGGGATATCAAAAGTCATTTCTTAACCCTGATTGGCTCATAATATACCTCTGAAGTGTGCCCATTTTTGTTTCTGATGGGTTTTTTGTTGTCTTAATATGTAAAATTGAGGAATTGCTGGCACAATTTGGCATTTGAGGGGTTTAAAACAAGGCATGTGAGAGATTGAAATGTGCCTGAAATTTTTCTTAGGGGGTCTTTGACAAGGTATAATCACCCCGGCTTTTCATATATTCAACGGAAAGTCCAATTACGAATTGTAAAAGGAAAATTGTTTCTATGCAGCCTTTTTGTTTACCATATAAGACTATGGAGCAGTCAATATACAAGACTCGGAGCGGGCCCAGGATTTTTCAAAAGAGGGGGCGGCGTTATTTCAGAAAACGGAATCTATCTACTACCGACGAGCGGAATAGACCCTATCGCTATTTAGGAATCTGCGACACTTGCAGGTGCTGATCCACTGAGTCATTTTTAAAAGGGGGTTCCCAACCCAGGATAAAAAGGGGGGTTCCAACTATATGTCCCCACTCAAATGCATTGATCGTCAAAAAAAGGGGGATTCCAACCCCCGGGCCGGAACCCCCCCCCCCCCTTTGGATCCGCCACTGACTTGAACTGTTGACATTATACAACAATCACGTTACCTTTGTGGCGCTAGACATTTTTTATTGTCACGTCAAAATTTTTACGGGAATATGATGTCCAGTAATGACGGACAAAAAGCGATAAGGTGTATTAGAGCGGAACTTTTTTAACGATTTTTTGTTAAAAAAATCATTTAAATCGTGAGAAACAATGAGAAACTTTTTGAAGATCAAAGTGCAGCGTACGTCCTCTACGTATCCCTGGATCAACCGGTACGACTGCAACCTGTCTGCTAGTCCCAGCTGTCTGACTTATAAATAATTTTATCATAAAAAATTCCGGAAACAAGTCCTGAAACGAGTTGTATATTATGCGTTTATAGATATTAGTTTCCCGCCGCCTGTCAAAGTATGTTTCCTGTTACGATTGTGAAAGGAAATGGTAAAAATTGACCGTTTTTGTCGATTATACTCAAAGATGCATATACAATATGTTGTGAATACACAAAGAAGTATGTTAAAATAAAACGTGCAAGTTGAAATGTTGGTCCCAGGTGGTCCAGTGAAATATAATATCATTGACAACCCTGGGTAGGTGTACTCCAGCAACAAAAGCCACAGCTTACTCCACGTTAGTAAGACCAACTCTGCAATATGCTTCCCCAGTATGGGTTCCTCACCAAATTACCATCATACGTGACATAGAGCAGGTACAGAGACGAGCAGCTCGATTTGTTTATAGTTGCTACCATGACAACTATCCTCCTGGAGAGGGGTTCTTATTGTCGAGTTACAAAAGTAGAGTTGTAAGTTACGAAAGTCGAGTTGTGAGTTACGAAAGTTGAGTTGCGAGTTACAAGTTACGAAGGTCGAGTTGCGAGTTAAGAAGGTCGAGTTACGAAAGTCGAGTTGCCAGTTACAAAGGTTGAGTTGCGAGTTAGGAAGGTCGAGTTGCGAGTTATGAAGGTTGTTGCGAGTTACAAAGGTCGAGTTGCGAGTTACAAATAGATTATGTTTCTCTTATTTCTTAAGAATTATATGTATATAAACGGTTGTATACATTGTATATAGATAATACTCAAAATTGACAACAACACTTCAAATGGTCTGCAATTTTATTAGCTATGGTCTACATGTTTCACCTGCAGGGCAGGCGTCATCAGGACAATTTTCATACAGAAATTAATTACTGAAGTACTCAAAGTGGTACATTGAATTTGACGTTGTCATGGTGAGAGAAACAATGAAAAGTGAAAGTAGCCATAAAGAGTTATAAATAGATAAGATAAATATAGAAAAATAAAGTTTGTTTACAATGTAAATTGAGTTCGTTTTACTTTTATATGATACATGACATTGTTCTAAAGGCTTGGTATCTGAATGGACGATCTTCCAATTGTTCCTACCACTTCGCAAGGCTTCTCTTCCAACCTGGCCATTGTTGGAATTTACTACTTCCTGGCGCGTCGGCAACAATGGGAAGATTTTGGTCGCCGCTAATGGAAAATGAAATTGTCAAAACTTGTTCCCTTGTTAATTATTTGGTATTTATATAATTTTTTGATCGTCTGCTGTAGTTGGTCTGTTTATCAGCATGGTTGTAAATTTATAGTTCATTTATGATCGGCACCCGCGTGGTGTGTGGTCCATTTCTTCTGCTATCATTCATAGATGTACATGTATGTAAGGTGGTATCGGAAATCTTGGTAATCTTGGTTTAGTTGTTGTTTTGTCGCACATATGGAATAATCCTTGGTCCATGTATAAGCTGGTGGACCATAGCTAATAAAATTGAAGACCATTTGAAGTGTTGTTGTCAATTTTGAGTATTATTTAAATGGTGCATTCATTTGCATAATTTGACAACCCCGCATACCAAGGTATCCACTTCAGGGACTCTATCGAAATGATTCACACAGGCGTTGGTTCACCAAACGGAGTTTAATTGTATATAAATGTTCTTGTCGTCTGATTTTTTAAACAGAATTTTCCGGTTTACTTTGCATTTAATAATCAAAGCATACATGTACCCGAACTTAGTTATACACTGCATGAGGAAGGGTCCTGGTATTTTGATTGCAGGATTTGAAAGAGTTATGTGATACTTATTTATAAGAGTCTATATGCTGCAAAGTCACGCACGCTTAAATTTCTTTCATGAGAGCGACATTGTTCATTTTCTAAAATAAAACAGGATATACTGTAGATACATGTATAAGACAAAATGTATACTGTACTGAACATATCAAGCATAAGAAAATTAATCATGTAGACAAAATTTTTACTGTGCGTGCTGTTGTGCGTTTGTTTTTTCTACATTGGCTAGAGGTATAGGGGGAGGGTTGAGATCTCAAAAAACATGTTTAACCCCGTCGCATTTTTGCGCCTGTCCCAAGTTGGGAGCCTCTGGCCTTTGTTAGTCTTGTATCATTTTTGATTTTAGTTTCCTGTGTATAATTTGGAGTTTAGCATGACGTCCATTATCACTGAACTAGTATACATATTTGTTTAGGGGCCAGCTGAAGGACGCCCCCGAGTGCGGGAGTTTCTCGCTGCATTGAAGACCCATTGGTGGCCTTCGGCTGTTGTCTGCTCTATGGTCAGGTTGTTGTCTCTTTGACACATTCCCCATTTCCATTCTCAATTTTATATCTGAATACTATAACGCAAAAATAAGCAGCGGCTATAGATGTCTTTTTATGGCATTATGGTAACTTCCTGGCATAGATCATAATATGGAGCTTTTTTTTAATTTGGAAAGATGTTATTCTACAATAAGCTATTATACCGCTGTTACAAAAAATAAAGGAACAGTTTTAAGGAATGTTATGGCGTGTGTTTTTTACGGTATGAGCATGGAAGCCTTGTCTGTCATGAGTTTACTTTTTCACCTACGTACATGCAGCCTTGATACAAATGTTGTAGTTTCAGATATCAGCTGGGTATTGTACATTT